GCGGGAGCCCCCTCCCTATGGGGCCCGCGCTTCATGTTTGTAATCCGAGCGGGTCATCCAAACCTTGTAACCGTCGTCACTTTTGGGCTCCTCAAGCTTGAGTACGGAGGAAGTCTCAGGCGGGAGCCTCGTCTGTGAGTGAATTGCGAGGAAGTCACAGGCGGGAACCCCTCCCCATGGGGCCCGCGTTTCATATTGGTAATCCGAGCGGGTCATCCAAACCCTGTAACTGTCGTCGCTTTTGGGTTCTTCAGGTCCGAATTTGGAAGAAGTCTCAGGCGGGAGCCTCGTTTGTGAGTGAATTTTGAAGAAGTCTCAGGCGGGAACCCCCTCCCTATGGGGCCCGCGCTTCACGTTGGTAATCCGAGCGGGTCATCCAAACCTTGTAATTGTCGTCACTTTTGGGCTCTCGCGCTGCCAGAACGCCACTCCCGGGCCACATTGTGCATGCCCGGAGCCAACTGTAGGCCACTTCGTGTTCTTCGTGTTCCCACAACACCACTCCCGGGCCACATTTTGAAACCCCGGAGCCAATTGTAGGCCACTTCGTGTTCTTCCTGTTCCAGAACACCACTCCCGGGCCACATTCTGGATGTCCGGAGCTAACTGTAGGCCACTTCGTGTTCGTCGTGTTCCCAGAGCGTCCTTCCCGGGCCACATTTGTGAATTTCGAATCCGAGGAGGGTCCTCGGAATTTGTATGCCTGTCGTCACTTTTGGGTCCCCGCGGCCTGAATATGGCTGTCATGGGAGCCCCCTCCCTATGGGGCCCGCAGATCATGTTGGTAATCCGAGCGGGTCATCCAAACCCTGTAACTGTCGTCACCTTTGGGCTCCTCAAGCTTGAGTACGGAGGAAGTCTCAGGCGGGAGCCTCGTCTGTGAGTGAATTGCGAAGAAGTCACAAGCGGGAGCCCCTCCCTATGGGGCCCGCGCTTCACGTTGGTAATCCGAGCGGGTCATCCAAACCTTGTAACCGTCGTCACTTTTGGGCTCTTCAGGCTTGAATTTGGAGGAAGTCTCAGGCGGGAGCTTCGTCTGTGAGGGAATTGTGAGGAAGTCTCACGCGGGAACCCCCTCCCTACGTCATGCTCTCCCGCGCCACGTGCATACGGAACATGCTGATCCTGCGGCCGCCGCCGCGGGAGTTCCTGGAGCGATGGCCGCCAGCGTCCTTGCGGAAGGCGCTCCTGGAGTTCGACAAGAGAGCGGTTTTGTCCAGGGCGGAGGCGAAACAGCTCGCGGCAGAGCTGGGTTTCGCGCTGCCCGCCTGAGCGCGGCTGCGCCCCGCTCGAAGCCCGCGGGGTTGTCCCAACGGCTTGGTCTTGCGCGCAAGCGGCTCGCGGGGTTGTCCCGACAGCCTGGCCCGCGGGGTTGTCCCAACGGCTGCGCGACGTGGCCATTAAAGAACGCGTCTGTGCTGGCCGAGGCGGCGACGGCGCCGAGGAAAACCGACATGCGCGCTCGTGCAATGGAGAGGCGAGGCGGTGGCGGGGCGCGAAAAAAACAGGAGGGCGAGGTCGGGGGCAACGTAGGGAGCGGGGGGAGGGCCCGCGCCAGGGCGAAAAGAAATATACGCAGAAGAGACAGTCAGGACGCTTCACCAACCACGAGGACGACGGTGAGCGCTTTTTCTAAATTCGCCCAGAGGGTTCTCATGTGGGGTCCTTCCGTCGGAGTAATTTTTATTACTACAACTACCACTACGCCTACTGCTACTCCTACTACTACTACTGCTACCACGGATGCTGTCATCACTGCCGCTACTACGACTACTTGTACTACCACTGCTACTACGACTACTACCACTACTACTACTACTACTACTACTACTACTACTACTACTACTACTACTACTACTACTACTACTACTACTACTACTACTACGACTACTACGACTAATACTACTACTACTACGCCTTCTACTACTACTATTACGACTACTACTGCTACTACTACTACTACTACTACTACTACTACTACTACTACTACTACCTTCTAGCAGTGCTACTATTACTACGACTACGACTACCTATCTCTTATTATTATTACCACTACGACCGCTACTACTACTACTACTGCTGCTGCTACTGCGACTGTTACTAATACTACGGCTACTACTACTACTACAGCTACTGCTACTTTTGATGCGATCCTAGTGCGATTACTGCTGCAACATTAACTGTTGCGTGCGCCCTTTGTTATTATTATTTCTGCTGCTACGACGACGACGATTATTTTATTTATATGTGCTACCACTTGTATAATCACTTAGATTCTGGGTACTACTACGGCTATTGCTAGTACTACTACTACTACTACCACTACTACTACTTCTACTTCTACTACTACTACTACTACTATTACTACTACTACTACTACTACTACTACTACTTCTCATACTATTACCAGAACTACTACTATCGCGGTTACCCGTATCCCTATTATTAAGACTATTATTACGATTGATCGTATGAGTGCTAACACATGTCCGAAACCAGCTAACAAGAACAACTACTAATGTTATTAGTACGGCGACTTCTTCCACTACTACGGCTACGATTACGCATACTGATGCCACTAGTTGTATAGTAGTACTACTACCAACATTACTATTTTATATTACTCGTACTACTACTACTACCACCACGACTACTACTACTATTACTATCAGTAGTATTGCTATTACCCCGAAGGGGGAGGAGGATGAGGGAAGGATGGGGCGTAGCTAGTGATTCGTATATCGACTATACTACGACTACTGCGACGACAATCATTTGCATTATCACTACTATTTCTCTTACTTCTATTATCACTACTACTACTACTACTACTACTACTGTCACGACGGCTAGTGTTATTTCGGCTATTCTTATCATTACTACGACTACTACGATTGTAACGGCTACGACTGCCAATGCGACTCCGACTACGAATGTGGCTACCAAAATTCTTGCCACCACCGCTACTTCCATTACTACCACCATTACAGCTGCTACTACTATGCTACTACTATTACTACTTCTACTACTACTACTACTACTACTACTATTACTACTACTACTACTACCACTACTATTACTACTACTACTACTACTACTACTCTGATTTGTCACCACTACTACTACGATTACTACCACGACTACGACCACTACGACTGAAACCGCTGCGACGGCGACTACGGATACGACTATTAGTACTACCACTACGACTTCTATTAGTACGATTACTGCTATTACTAGTCTTATCGCATTATTAATAAAAACCATTCATACTACTATTATTAATACAACTACTACTACTACTACTACTACTAGTACCACTTCTGCGACTGCTACTACTACGACGACGACTACTATTACCATTACTACCACTACTACTTCTATTACTATTACGGCCACTGCTCCGACTACTACAACTACTAGTTCTACTACTACTACTAGTACTTTTACTACTACTACTACAACTACTGCTACCCTCACAAGTAGCATTACTGCTACCATTGATACGAATGCTGCTATTAGTACGAATACACATGTTTTCGTATTTCTACGACTAGTACTAGTACCATTATTACCACTGCGACTACACTTCCTTCGATGATTATGTCTACATTTACTATTTCGACTAGGTCGTATTTGTTTTACTACTCGTATTATCTTTATTATTGTTACTACTACAACAACAACAACTACTACTACTACTACTACGACTACTACTACTAATACTACTACTTCTACTACTACAACAACTACTACTACTACTAATACTACTTCTACTACTTCCACTACTTCCACGACTTCTACGGCTACTTCCATAACTGTTATAATCACTACTACAACCACCACAACCACTACTACGACCGTTGAAAGAAAAATGTTTGCACCATTTCGGGACGAGCTGCGAATCGGATGGCACTGCTGTGCCCCCGCGCCCCCGACTTTGATATTGATTGTTGTAATATCTCCTGGGGCTCTTCGAACGAATAAAGATGCGCGCGCGCCCTCTTTCAACGTTTAGGCTGCGGGCGGCGGGGTCGTTCCATCAGCTGTCGCGCCGCCCAGGTGGTGCAAACTTGTTTCTATCAACCGTAGGGGGGATCTGAGGCCGCGGCCTTCACGGCAGCGGCCTCAGATCCCCCACGGGGCCAGGAACGGAAAGGGGGAACACAACGCAATGCAATCCAATGCGATTGCAATGCCAACGCAATGCGGTCGCAAAGCAATGCGATGCCATCGCACTTCAACGCGCCTCCATGGCATCGCTGTGCCACGCGAGCCCCCTGGAACGCTCCCCCTTAGAGTGCTCGGGGGCACTCCCCTGCGGCCTGGAACCGTGGAGGCCTGCTGCTGCTCCCTTGCGGCCAGCGCCGCTTGTGATGGCCGGCTCGTGGCGGGTGCGGGGGGGGGGGGGGGCAAAAACAAATCAACCAACAAAAAAAAAAAATGTTTTTTTTTGCCCCCCCCCCCCCCCCCTCCCCCCCCACCCGCCACCCACCACCACACGAGCTCCCACCATCATCACTGCCCTGGCGGAGCGGGCGCCCACGGGACGGCTGAGAGAGCGAGGTGGGGGAACGTTTGGAGGGGAATGGAGAGCACGAGCATGCCTGTATATACATATATGGGCCCTGGCCAAGGAGATGAGTGTCCAAGGACCTCCGAACAAACGAAACGACTCCCCCGTCCCCCCAATTCGTGCGCGAAGCGTTTGCGGTGGACCGAAATCCCTCCAAAACGAAACATCGATTCCAGCAGGGGGGGAAATCGGCCAGGACCCATATATATATATATATATATATATATATATATATACAGATTCTGGTGTCGTGACAGTTGATCCTCAGTAGTTCAGTGGTGAGGCATGTATCTGCAACGTCGTTGCGAAGCGGGGATGATCATGAACCGTGAATTGAATTTGTCAGAATGAAGGGGATTGGCGATCCTGTATGGATAGTCGTGCTTCCATCGCTGCAGAGGAAACTTGTCATATTCGTTCAGAGGGCCATTGCTGAATACGTTCTCCATTCTGCTCATGTAGAAGCTTGCCATTTTTTAAGTTTTTAGTTGTAACTTGTACTTCCAGTTTCAACGCAGACTTTGTACACGCTCTCTTCCGATGGGACAGCGCGCGTGTACCACACTAGAAGCAGACGATTGTGCCATGAATTGGTCCAGTGGGCGTGGCGAGCCCCATCGCACGTTGACGCATGATAGACCAACCGCAGTTATTTTGAACACGGACCCTCTCCCGCTCACAGGGCAGAGCAGGGAAAAGGGGGACGAGGACAGGGAAGGCGAAGGGGGAGTGGGACCGAAATGACGGATAGAAGGGTGCAGGGCTGAATATAGGAAACGAGAGGTTATATAGTGGTATCGTTGGTCGTGTATCTTTGGTTCACCCATCACGTGGACTCCACTCGACAGTCTCTGGTCTCCAAATCTGGCGCGCCCGTTGGGCGCAGTGTCCGTTGGTTTACCGATCGTATGGTGCCAGTCCGCTTTCCCGTTTGCTTGCATATTCTTCATTGTCGCATCAGTGCCCGCCACATCCGCATGTTCTCCAGTCGTATGTGGAGCTATCGACGGCCGATTTTTCGCACGATGGTCTCAAGAGAGTTCTCAGAGGACGTCAACAAATTGGCCCCAGATGGTCCAAGGCAGCGGGCGTCGCAATATTGTACCGAAGTTGGCCCATTGACGGCCAAGACAGCCTCAACAATCGGGCTAGGACCCCCAAGATGCCCGAATACCGACCCAATATATTCAACGAAGCATTTGCCAGGGCCCATGGTATGCTCCAAGAGGGCCCAAGAAAATTCTGTTTATCTATATTTGATGCGTTCTCGGCTTACCGTATAATGTCTGGAGGCACCCGAAATAATGAAACAGCACCACGCGTCAGTCTGACAGCAGGGGCCTAGCAGCAGCAAGCCGCAGCAGCAAGCAAACAAAGGCAACAAGCAGCAGCCGCAAACAATCACAAGACAGCACGCCGCTGTGGACCCGCCGCCAGCCCAAACGGCAAGCATAAATCGGGCGTGGCCCTGCACGCATTCGAATGCCAACACTTCGTCCTCGTACTACTCGTGATCATCCCCGTCCTCCTCCTCATCCTGATCGTCGTCGTCTTCCTCTTCCTCGTCCTCCTCATCCTCGTCGTCTTCCTCCTGCTCCAGCTCCTTGTCGTCCTCGTCTAGGACCTCGTCCTCGTTTCTCCTCTTCCTCCTCCTGCTCTTCCTCTTTCTCCTGGCACCTCGGCGGCCGAAACTAAAACCGTCCCCCATCGTTTGCGCAATAGGTTGCGCCCTCGGCGGCCAAGAAACCAACTCCTAGCGGTTGCGCCATAGGTTGCGCCCTCGGCGGCTGAGATTCAAACCGTCCCCTCTCAGTGGCGCCAGAAGGTGCGCCCTCGGCGGCCGAGAAGAAGATCCATAGGTTGCGCCCTCGGCGGCCGAGAATAAAGCGGTATCCTATCAGTTACGCCACAGGTTACGCCCTTGGCAGCAAGCAGTCAAAGGCAGCAAGCGGCAGCTGCCATCAAAAATCGCAGGCAGCGGCCTCAAGCGGCAGTTGCAATAACCAGTATCATCTGCAAATGTTGGCAGCAAGCAGCAGCAAGAGCCTGCACCAACAGTCAGCAGCACATGCAGCAGCTGAAAACAGGCAGCGGCAAGCAGCTGCACGAAAGAGTCAGGGTCAACCATCAGCAGCAAGCAGCATCATGCCTTGCCTGCAGGCGGTTGCAATGAACAACAGCAATCGGCAGCAATCCCACAAGCACCATTCGCATGCAGCAGGAATTCACAGCGAGCAGCCGCGCCTGTCAGAAATAACCACAAGTAACAGTAAACATGTGCCGCGGCAGAGGGCAACAGCAAACACGAGGAAGCAACGGCGATCAGCCGGCACACAGCAGCCATGAGGAGCAAGCGGCAGTAGCAATCTGCAGTTTTGACGTTCCATTGGTATGTATGCAGCAACGCTCCAAGATGTCTTTCGGATGAGATCCACACCAGGGATTGGCCGCGCGGCTCGGAAAGCGTCAGGATCGTTTGGGTCTCAGGGAAGTGTTCTGACCGGGTGTTGGGTTTGAGAGGTTATTAAGGAAAAATGATTCGCACAACCTGTTAAAAGCAGGTATGGCAACGAGGGCTCTGGAGTTGATCCCGACCCGCAGCTTGACGTTCGATGGAGGCTGCAACTCGCGAACTAACCGTGCGTTCATTCGGCCACTTCACATTTTTGTTCGGATGGTTGGTCATGTTTTTGAGTATGTTGTAGTGTTACCTCCTGGTCATCCACTGCAAGGGCTGGCGAGCATCGCCGAATGTATCCTCTCATGAAGGCCAGATCGGATCTGCTTCGCTTAGTCGGGCTCTCGGTGCTACGCAGGCATTTCCGGCGTGCCCCTCCTGAGGAGGGCTCACACGAATCGCATCGCATACATTTGAAAGCCAGAGCGCCAAGTGAGTTGAGGGTCCATCGAACTGAACTCTGGTCCGACTCGGATCAAGTTTCCGTCGCAACTTACTGGAGGATTAGGCCGCTGCCTAATCCCGACGATGTTTTCGACCACTGCAGTTAAAATACGGTTCACCGTCTTGAAATTTCCTCCACGATGTTGTATACATCTCTTCTGGATATCCGTCCCGTGACTTTCGACCCGACATGGTCGCGGCGCGTTGTCAGGAATAGTGTCGACCAAATCTCCAGCAGTATTCCGCCCAACGGATTCTCAACTTTCTGTGCGGTCTTGCTTCCAAGCACGTCCTCCTGCTGACAATCTGCAGCTGCCGCATGCGGCGAGTCTGCCGTGATCTCTGCGGCATGTGCCGCCTTGGCTGATGACCCAACAGAAATGCCACACTCGCGTTTCAGGGTGAGGCATGCCAATCTTAGAGACACTGGGCGACGCACGAAAGCATGCATGGCACATGTTGTTGGGCACGCTTGCAGCATGAGTTGGGCAGGATCATGCTGCCTTAGACCACCCATACTGGGACTCATGAGGACAGGGAAGTTTGGCACGCATTATGCTACACAGTGTTTCCATTGGGTTCGCCGAGATCGTATTTTCGCGGGCGGCGGCATCGCCCCGCACCATTTGAGCATTGTAGATTCGTCGAAGGTATGTGATGTACAGAACAAGCATCACACGCGGTATAATTGTGATGCGCATTGCCCCTCTTTGCAGGGGCAAGCGCGCGAGCGCGGGGCAACAGGCCGCCATGCTTTTTCTCGGGTTGCGATCGGTTGGACTCCTAGCGGAGACCCTTCAGCCCGACATGCTGTCTTCCAAGCCTCGCGCAGGCTACTCTTGACCCTTTGGCCGCCCTTTAGCAGGAGCGAGTCTGCAGGAACCGTTGGCGCCAGGTGTTCTAGCCTCCTCGTCCTCCTCCACCTAAGCCCCGCTGTTGCGAACCAATTGCCCGACGCATCAGCGTATGTATGCCCCTTTGAGCGTTCTGGCCCCCAAAACCTCCAGTCAGTCAGCTTGGCCTTTCTAGCGGCAGTCACGTCAGTGACATGGCCCGCTGCGACCCATGGATTGGAGATGGGTGTGGGCGGGGGGCGAAGCGAGGGGATGCGAGGGAGAACGGGACGCAGGACGAGGAGATGATAATTTGACGGGGTGGGAAGAAATGGGAGGATAGCAGATAGCAGCGTCTGTGATGGGCAGGAATTGGAGCAGGACGTAGCAAGGGGGAAAGGGGAGGGGGGGACAAGGATGGGCAGGGGCAGGGGCAGGGGCAGGGGCGAGGGCCACCCATGGACAACGTTCGGCACACTAGTGTTTCCTTTCCCTCGTCCATTCCCCCTCTCCCATCCTCCGCCGATCTTCCAATCAAATTCCCATTCCCATCCTCCCCCCGACCAGCCCCCCCTCCCCACACGTACCACGTTCCCTCCCCCGCCATATGCCTCACCCCCGCAGTTAGCTCCCGAGTCCCCCCAGCTGCCCTTCACACTTCCACATGAAGAATTATACCCTCCTCTCTTCCCTGATTCCGTCCGGAAGCTGTTTTACAACGAGGATGCCAACACCGTGATTTGATATGTGTGCTCTCGGCTCTCAGTTGCAGCACGCTGTGTTTGATGCTCTTCGCATCCGTCTTGGCTCAGAGTTCTGAGACGCCTGGCTCCATCCCGCCGCGGATGCACGACGGGTCGCCTCTTCTCTGGACGATCCTGCTGGCCGCTCGGGGGGCGACCCTGGGCGCGTGCTGGTCTTGAGGGTGGGATGCCGCCCCTGCTGCGCGGGCGCTGCTGGCTCCTGTTCCGCCAGGCCTGTGCGCGGAGGGCGCGTGCCATCGCTCCTGCGACCAGGAGCTGAGGCGCATCGTCGACCTGCAGGCGGAGGTCTTGGTGCAGCGGTGCCTGCTGGTGGTCAGGCTCTGCGTGACGGGCCTGGCGATCACCTGTGCTGGCGTGCTGGGGTTCCTGGCTGGGGCTTGCCGGCGCTGCGGGTGGACTGGCCGCGGGAGGCCGCCCAAGCATGCGCTGCTCATCCCGTCTCCTTTGCCCTGCCCGCTGACGAGCAGCTCGGGCTTCACGGCGACGCCGAGGACCCTGGCCATTCGACGGGATGGCGGCCCAAACCATGGAACTTCGTGAGTCTCGGGTGTTGGCACTACCCGGCGGCGGCGCGGAGGCGCTGCCATGGCACCACCGCATCCTACTTCAAGGGGTCGATGGCGGACTTCCGATGGCTCTGACACTCGACCACGACATCGTTCGGGTCGACTTCGCGACCTTGGGGCACCACGTGTTGGACCGCGCGGCGGCGATCCCTCGCACGGGTCGCCCCGCAGTTCTACGCCTGTGACCCCGTTGACCCCCATACCCTGAGCGACGCGGAGTGGCAATAGCAGGAGAATCCCAGAATAGTTGGATAGAAGTTGTTGGTGTTGCTGCTGATGATGATGGTGATGATGATGATGATGATGATGGTGATGATGATGCTGATGATTTTCTTTTCCGGGCTTTTTGATGTTTGAGCATTTTGTTTGATGCTGTTAGATGTGTCTTTCAAAATCCACTTGTAGGAGGACATGCCCGACCTA